TGGCTGTATTACATACGTTAATTGGTGGCTGAAAGTTACGTTTTGCTGGCGATGCCAGCTGTCCATAATTTGGGGACCGAGCAGGTTTTTACAGGCCGGGGCCGCAAAATCAGCTGTCAGCTTACTTTCTTAAAACATGAATGCATTTTAAATACACAATCAAAATCCATAGCATTGCAAAAGAATTGTGTTATTGTCGCCGTTGCCTAGCAACTATTTATTTTTATTTTTGCTGATTCCTCAAATTATTTCTTTACATAACCTTAAAGTTGTAGTTGTGTTGACTATCAGTGTGCATTATTATAGTGGTGTAATAGGGTATAGTGGTATAGTGTGGTGAAAAATAGCGTTCGTACCACGGGCCGAAATGGTTTTGCAGCTCTCGATCGATTTAAGTTCTCGACTTCGTCTCGAACTTAAAAACTATCTCGAGCCGGCAAAACCTCATTTTCGGCCCTAGGTACGAAATATACTATTTCACCACACTATGATGTTTTTGGCTGTATTACATACGTTAATTGGTGGCTGAAAGTTACGTTTAGCTGGCCATGCCAGCTCTCATCGTAATTTGGGGACCGAGCAGGTTTTTACAGGCAGGGGCCGCAAAATCAGCTGTCCGCTTACTTACTTAAAAAATGAATGCATTTTAAAAACACAATCAAAATCCCTAGCATAGCAATAGAATTGTGTTATTGTCATCGTTGCCTAGCAACTATTTATTTTTATTTTTGCTGATTCCTCAAATTATTTCTTTACATAACCTTAAAGTTGTAGTTGTGTTGACTATCAGTGTGCATTATTATAGTGGTGAATAGTGGTATAGGGTACAGTGTGGTGAAAAATAGCGTTCGAACGACGGACCGAAATGGTTTTGGAGCTCTTGATCGATTTAAAACTATCTCGAGCCGGCAAAACCTCATTTTCGGCCCTAGGTACGAAATATACTATTATTTCGTACATACACGAAATGTCAGTACTTGGTGAACCTCGTTATTTAAATAGGAAATAAATCTAAGAAAATTTTTAAGAAAACAATTCTAACCAGTCAAATTAAATAATTTTTAATCCGCAGTCTTGCTGCGGTGAGTACATTTTCAAATTATGAAACCGGTGTGGATAGTAAACGGAGCAACCTACAAACAATTCTAAGAATTATATTTTGTATTTGTTTCACCTTTGTTTAACAAAGCCTTGCTCATGTAACCTTATCCTTTTTAACTCCATAAACAGTGGTGCTTGTTTCAAGTGGTTGGGGTTGTGTGTGTGTGTTTGTGTGAGTGTGTGTGTTTGTGTGACGCAAGCGCGGACCACAACACGGCACCTCGACGCTCAGTATCTGCCAAGTTATCGTTGAGTTAAAGCGTCGTTTATCTAGTGCGCCTTTCGTTTACAACAAACGTAGTTGTGAGTTGTATTTTTTTTACTGTAGCAGCAATAGTATTGTTGCAATAAATTTTCAATAGCAATAGTATTTTCGTTAAATTTAATTATTGCTCCGTTGGCATTCAGGAATCAACGGAATTTCGATAGCAACACAAAAACATTTAAACCCAGGTCAGTACAGTATGCAATATAGAACCACGAAATTTCGCTATTTTATATGTAAACACGATGGGTGATTTTGTGCTAAATAAGGCGTTGTTTATTTAAAATTGTTGTTTAATAGATTCAACCACCAAATACGTCATATGGTGTCTTACAGAAATCGTAAGATCGAATGTGTCGATAGTTTTTTTAGACTAATAATTTTATTTTTTTATTTATTTATTTCATTATCGGGTTACAGAGATAAATCACCCACTTAATCTGTTTTGAATACATTTTTGATGATGTGTATACATTTCTAAGTTTTTGGAATAAATCATGTCTTTGCTCGTTATTCAATTACATGGGTTCGTTGGTATTTTAGAAAGTATTTAATGGAGAAAATACAAATATGCTTTGGGTTTTCATGGGTATTTTTGTGTTTGATGGATTATTTAATGGGGGAATTAGGAATGATACCAATTACTTTAAAAAATGTACAGTTGTTTAAAGTTAATAATAAAGCAACAATTACTGTATAACGTATGCTCTGAAGATGCAAATAGGTGGGATGTTTTCTCACCCCTAATTGCAAATTTGTCCTTGATAAGCTTCAAAAATGTTTGATCGGGACTGAGTAAAATATTTAATTTGGAGGGTATATTTTATGTTTATTTATTAATAATGATTTGTAATTCTTGGAAGCCAATTGAATCCCTACATAGCCTTCTTATTGTACTAGGTAAGGTTTAAATTAGCTTTATATACTTTATTGCTGGTTTTAGGATATAATTAAAGTAATTAAAACCATATTATGAAATAAATTTGAATAACCTATAATACGGACCATTAACAAGTTTTGACCTGATTGATTGTTCAAATTTACAAATAATTTGGATGATTTATGGCTGGATATTCACCATTATTTCTTTATATGTAAAACTAAAAATTTAAAGCTTACGAAATATGGACACCTTTTAAAATTGTTTTTAATATCTTCTACCTAGAAAATTACTGAGAAACTATTTTAAACATATAATAAATTGAAAATATTAAATTCCCTGTATAGCGTAACCCTAGGTTTAATTGTTTGAGATTTGTAGATATTTTAAGAAGACATATTTTTACATTTATATAATAACCATTGCAACTATACGTTATAATCTACCTGCGCATAATATCCCTAAAACAAACCTTCAAATTGAACCTAGGTAAAACTCCCACTACTGAATATTCCAAATAAAGATAGGTCCTTAATTGCCGGGACATATAATTTCTAAGAAACATTAGTGGTTTCGTAAAAGGTGTGATACAGTCATTTCAATGTTTGAATATGTTTGAATGTCCATCGATTTTCTTTTGCAACAGAAACTTGTTTACTTTTATGTACGCGGTGCTCTGATGAGTAATTTCTATGCCAGTTTTCTATAGTTATCTGACATGAAGAAGGAATCTAGTCTACAATACATTTAATATATATATTTAATCTATACATTATATGCAATATATAATGTCGAAGTTTCTACTGTGTTCGAATATACTTTTTCTGCTGTTTTACGAACAATTTAGTTTATTTAACTCCATGTGACTGTAACATTAAATAATTTGAATAGTTACTCAATTAGGTTATATAGTTTTTTACAACAAAATAACAAAGGATTGATTATATAACTTTTGTAATGATTCGCTCGTAAACGGTACTCGTTTCGAACCGTTTTAGCTGCATTCCAAAGTGAATCACTTTCAATGCCATTCCCCATGAGAATAACATGGAAGAAGATTAAAAACTTGGAGGGATCGGCTTAGGGAAATGAAAATTTTCGGATTTTTTTGGGGGGGGGGGTGGGTTGGGTTACCAGACCTAAAACCACAGAAAATCTCAAGTATCTAGCTCTTCTAGAAGTGGTCTAGAATTTGTATCCCCTAGTTACAATTGTCTTTTTTATTTGCTATTCTACAAATCCAATAGTTTTTCTTTTTTTCTCTTTGACAGCAGCTTAGCAGACGCACAGGTAGCACTGCCTATGTCTGCTAGTTCCTTTGTTTTATTGTTAAATATTTTGGCTTATTAAAACTCGTATTTTTAGTGACAAAAGTGTCTGTCTAATGTATTTTATTTTATAATCACAGTTTGTAGCCAATGTTTTTTTGGAATAAACTATATATTAATTCATTCATTCATACATAAGCGGCTGTGTGGTATTTAGATTCATCTACAGCATTAGATTGAAAACTTTGCGTTATAAAATCAAAGAGCTGATTAAATGAGATTTACAAATAAGTCGCTTTACTTGTGAAACTCAATCACGAGAGATTGGAATTCAGGCACTTAAGAACTGCCAGAGCGGAAAATCAATAAGAGGCTACTGACTTATTGACTTTAGAGGATCAATATACAATCTGATCACATCAGCAAACGTTTTACGGACTGTTCAGATAATCAGTTACCTTTCTGATCCCAATGTCACAGGCTCAACTAACTGTTTAGTTGATCAATATCCAATCTGATCACATCGGCAAACGTTTTACGGACTGTTCAGATAATCAGTTACCTTTCTGATCCCAATGTCACAGGCTCAACTAACTGTTTAGTTGATCAATATCCAATCTGATCACATCGGCAAACGTTTTACGGACTGTTCAGATAATCAGTTACCTTTCTGATCCCAATGTCACAGGCTCAACTAACTGTTTAGTTGATCAATATACAATCTGATCACATCGGCAAACGTTTTACGGACTGTTCAGATAATCAGTTACCTTTCTGATCCCAATGTCACAGGCTCAACTAACTGTTTAGTTGATCAATATCCAATCTGATCACCGTGTCAAAGGTTCCGATTGTTCATAGGATCAATATACGATCGATTTGATAATTTTGTAATTAATAGTGTAAATCAGTCAAAACTGAATCCAACAACTACAAGAATCATTCATTTTATTGGAGAAAAGTTATCAGACGAAAATGTATTTATTCATTATAACTAAATTCATAATGTATTTATTCATTATGATAATGCAACAGCAATATATTATAGCAATAATATGAATATTACCATTCAATGTTAACATAGATATCTATGTATTTAAGCTTTAAAGGGACCTAATTTCAGATTATTTGTAGTAAATAGTCCATGTGATGTTTCTATTTCTGAATAAATTGATTTATTTGTTTTGAATACTGTTGAAAACAATATAGCATAATAATTATTGAATCCAACGTTTATTTCAATATTAAATCTTTTTCAGGTTGTTAGTCAAATTAGATTTCTTTCCATTATTTTTATATATTTTATATTGATGTACATAACAAAAGATTTTTACAAGATTTTTTAAGAGAATAGTCCAAACTGTAGTCAGTATTCAAATTCTATATTGCTAGAAATTGTCATGAATTATACAAATTTAATGGAAGTTTAACATTATTTTCCAGAATAACAAATATGACGTATAAGATGAAGTAAGACATGATCGAGATGAATTGCTCTGATGAAGAGGATATTTACCAGCTGGGCGACAATGAGACAACCAACCAGCTGATTGATCAGCTGATTAGAGAGTTCAGCAAGGCTCAGCTGAGGTACAGCGAGGTTCGCCATATCGTGCTGATAGCTTGCTACGTACCACTCTTCCTGATAGCTGCTGCTGCTAACTCTCTTATAATCATCGTCGTCTTCAAGTACCACTATATGCGCAGGTAAATATCATCAATTACCACTATATGTGCAGGTAAATATAATCAATAACCACTATATGTGCAGGTAAATAAAATATCTTCATATACTACATATATGTGCATGTAAATATCATCAATTACCACTATATGTTCAGGTAAATATCATCAATTACCACTATATGCGCAGGTAAATACAGTATCACCAATTACCACTATTCAGGTAAATAAAATCAATAACCAATACATGCACAGTAAATATATAAAATGCTACCACTTATTAAAAATAGCAATACAGGGTGTTAAAAATAAACAGAATAAAGAATAAACAGTTTCTCTAGTTTTATTTAAACAGCTCTGAATTTAATAGAAAGAGCAAGTTTGTAAGTTTTGTTCAACTGTGTACGCCAGTATGGCTAAAATAAAAGCTACTAGTACCATAAAAGCTACTAAAATTGTATTGTGTTTACTTGAGTATTAAAGGATATTCCAACGTAATCACAAGTTTTGTGAGTTTTCTCGAACGGGAGCCGTTGTGACTGTTCAACGAAACTTACTCCAACGTAGTTACGACAAGTATCATTTCAGATTTTTAAAACATTTCATTGAAAAGATGCAATAGTATGCAATTTGTATTAATAAACAAATCTGTCACAGTTAATCAAGAGGCCAAGACTAAACACATCAGCATAAAAACTAAATTGATAACTCTTACCAGTGTTAACTTTAACGTCTGTGTTAATCAAAACCAACAGAAAGTACACAATAATTATTTTAACAACTTGTATGGTAGTCATGCACGATTCTAAGCAAATTGGTAAAAAAATTGGAAGCTAAAATAAATTGGTAAAAGTTATGAAATGTCACCACATACACGATTTCAGAAATTTATATGATTACTAGCTGGCGCGACAAACGTCGTCCTGTCCTAATGTGGTTTTATGTCAAATGCTCGTTTATTTTCAAGATGAGCTCGTTCGCATGGCTCAATCACGTCCTGGTTGTAGTTCAGTTTGCTACGCATACTCACCTTTACGCTGGAGCTCGTTAGCTGCACTCACTTGCCTTCAGGTTAGCTCGTGTACTACGCTAACTCGCCTCCAGGTTGAAGTTCGCTCGCTACGCTCACTCACCTTTTGGTTGCAAATTAGCTGTTGTCATAAATAAAAAAAATAATAATGCTGCACTCTGTTGGTAAACCTATTAACTTTGTAATGCTATTGAACATCACAGAATCAAATTGTTTAGTTGAACCAGCTGTTAAGATTCTTTAATTCAATTTTGATATGAGTACTCATAATGAAGTATTTATGAGTATCATGGGAAATTCTAGAGCCACTGGGGCGGAGCCCTTTTTACGGATCCGTACCAAACTTCACAAAAACCATCCTTGAAAAATGCTTAATAATGCCTGAAAGTTTCATTATAATATGTCGAGCGGTTTCGGAGTCCATAAAGGACAAACAAACAAACATACATTGGATTTTATATACAGGGTGAAAAAAGAGACCCCCTCTAGTAAATATACCAAGTAAATATCCAGAGATATCCTTTTGGTGGTCGTGCAATCTTAGCAGGAAGTTTTATTTTGAAATATTTTAGTTGCCCCCCAAGTTAGTTGTACTCAAAAATCATAAAATGAAACTTCCTGCTAAGGTTGCATGACCACCAAAAGGATATCTGAAAAAATATTAGAGGGGGGGGGGTCTTGACTTGTTATTCACCCTGTATATAGATTTCAAATTTTGCAGTCAGGCGTAGCGATGTAATACGAACGCATATAAATAATCAAGTGCCACAACATGCGCAGGTAAAAATAATCAAGTATGTGATAATCAATGGTAAAATATAACCAAGTACTTACATTTAGAGATAATAATCATTTATTGATATATGCTGTGCAGCTCTTCAAACAAGGGCTTTGGTTTAACTATCAAATGATAAAAATTACTTTAATATTTACACTCATTCTTAATATGGCGTGTTTAACTACTCATTTTGTCGTATTTATTATAAATAATATAAATAATTTTAAGAATTTGTAAGATCTTTTATTCTATAAAATTACAAGTTTATCGGAATAAGATTCTTAATCCTTACAACGAACTCAATTTATTTAAAAATATTGTGAATATTTTCCTGTAAAACACATATTTGTAATTGTAAACACAAAAAATATTCATTTTCCTGTTGTATTATTAAGGTCAAAAGGTAAAGAAAACAACTGAGTTTATTTTGTTTCGTTTCTTTGTAACATGACATATCACCTAGAAGTGCAAAGTATGTAAGTAACTACACAAAGGTATACGGTAATCTTTGTGAATTTTATAATGATGACGTCATTACAGTGTCCTTGGCTCTCATATGTTGTTCTTTGCAGTATTCTTATAAACAGATTTTATTATAAAATACGTTTACGTCTCAATACTTATTTTACATAAAACATTTCTTTATATGAAAACGAAACACATAATTTAAGATTTACGTTAGTTTATCACACAAACAGGAAATAATATTAGTTAGCATTACTGGATAAAATCTTTTAGTAAATCGGCCTGGAATCATAGTTTATGTTTTAAAATAAATAATGTTCTTGAACAACAATTCTGTTCGACACATTAACCACGCCCTATCTAAAGGTCATAGGATGACGTTTATGCAGATCTGGTTTTCGCCGATATTCTTTTAAACTAATGGCCTTCAGAACTATGTGCTACTTGATAGGGGTGTTGTATTTAAACAAATTTAAGTCACTCCTAGCACCCCTAGTCACCCCAGCAACCCCTATTTGGGAGTGGGGGGGGGGGTGAATTTCAAAACACCCCCAAAAAGTACTTTACATTTCCCTAGTAACGTGTATCAAAGGTCGTTTGAAAATATGCAGCCGTTTAAAAATTAACAGCAGGGGCTATCATGGGAAACCCGGTATATATAATGCATAACCCAAAATAGAGGCTAGAGGGTTGAAATGGGGAAAATTAATTTTCACCCCATAAACCCCCCACCGCAACCCAATGTGTTCAATGTGTGATCATACTGGTTTGCGGACTCGGTCGAATTAAAGTAGGTTTTGTACCAAATTTCAATAAAATGGCAGGCACTATTTTGTGAAACTATGACTACAGTACGGGCCACGAGAGTCTGCAGTTGAGGGATGAGCCTATTTACCACGTAAGGAGTCAATGAGGACCGCACGTTGTTGCCAAATCTAATAATACCAGCTGATTTGAAAGCATTGTTTAGTATATTTTTATTTGTGTCGTCATCAGAAGATATGGCATCGTCGCACTAGCCCTGTCTTGTAATCACAAGGCTGACCCCAACTGCAGTCTCTCGTAGGCCCTATATGAATTTGAATTGAATGGGGTTTTTTGGCCTCTGGATACCTCAAAACGAAAATTAAATCGGTCCCTGGATCATGTACCTAGTTCCTGTATGGAATATTCGATGAAAAAAGTATTAATGATTTGTTCTACTTACAGTGTGACCAACTACTTCTTGGTGAACCTGTCAGTAGCAGATCTTCTGGTGACATTTATCTGTATGCCGATGGCTGTGGCTCAGTCCGTTACAGGACTTTGGCTCTATGGGGAGACTATGTGCAAGCTGACGTCATACTTACAAGGTATTGTAAGAAATCAATGTCAATGTCTGTGCTATAATTGATATTATTATCCCTAGCAGATTTTGCTGGTGGCTTGCTCGAATCTTTTTAGATACTTGATGTACGGAATCTCCGAAAGAAATCACTATGAAAGAGACTGCTCCGAAATAGAGACTCTACTCCGAAATACAGGCACTACTTAGAAATGCAGGAAAAATGTAGGCATTAAGCCGAAATGCAGGCACTACTCCAAAAGACTTTGTACAGGTGAACGAAATGGGTTGATCCGAAAATCACTGCTTTGAAAAATTAACACGATCCTATAAGCCACTCTGAAATGTAGTGTGTCGTCCTGTTTTTCCTAGTTTTTTTTTTGTTTTTTTTAATACTGTGCCTTACAACTGGATCAAGCCCTACCTTGCAATCTACGTTTTATTCTCATACCGCACTTTGGCCAGTTTCAGATGAAATAAACGGTATCACAGTCTGACATACTTTCTCCCATTAGTCGGTCAAAACCCTTTATAATAGGTGAGTAGTAGGAAGAAATGTTATATTTTATCAGTAAATTACAGAAATTGCAATAAATTTGTAATTTTTACAAAATTGGGGGTTGTTATATTTTGTTTGGAATTGGAAGTACCGTGACATACTAAATTTGGTTGAAAATCGACAACGCAGTTTTGTGAGAATAAGATTTCTTATTACTTTATGGGGTTTTATGGAAATAAAAAGTAAAGTAAATATCAAAATTGCAAAGGTGAAAAGAAACCTGGAGATACAATAAATTAATTTAGTACCCACATACCTAATTTTAACAAAACCATACCACAGGGGTGGTCTGTAGGCCTAGGGCCCAAAACTCAAACTCTAAAATAGTGTGAAAACATCACTTAGGCCTAACATTTCATAATCATTTCTGAATCAGTAGATTTACAAGTGCGTTGCCGTTATTTGACGCCTAAAACAAAGTCCTTAGACTGTAATTCGATTAATAAAATATAGAAACGCTTATCTTAAATTAAATTGAAAAAGTTTGACGGAGAATAAAAATGCCTGCAGTTAAATTTAATTAACCATGATGGAAACTTAAAGTATTAGGCTTAATGTGGCCTTCGCTTATTGCCTATAAACCCGTAAGGCCGATAGGTGTTTACTGGCTAAAGTAAATTACCAAACGCCAATAAAACATTTGATTTCCACTTTGCAAAGATGAGCTGACGATTAATGATTACGTTAAAGATATTCAGACTTTAGACATAAAACTGGAAGAAAATAGTTTATTGAATCTATAAACTATTAAGCTAAAAGTACAACTAACTAGGTAAAGCCTAGTAATATGCTTTGTTTTTTTCTTTGAGAGAAATCTTTTACACTACATTCCTTATTTATTTCATCATGGGTGAAGAATACAATCAATTGATAGTATTATAAAAACAATATAAATATTGTTAGGAATAGATTATTTAAAGGTACAAAGATAAAAGATTATTGTAAAAGGGAAGAAGTGTGAAGAGATTATTTTAGTACGATTTGATTTGCATGAAATATTTTTATCAAAGCGAGTAACTGACTAAAATAATTTTCAAACAAGCGGTGTATTAATAATATATTTTAACATAATATGATTTAAGACCAGTTAAGTGAATGTACAGAAAATATTATTTCCTCGGAATGAAATATGTTTAGCGTTAGCCATAACGAAACAAAACTACAATGTCAGCTCCTCAGGCATGATTTGAGAAAATAGTTACACAGTAGTGACTTTCTCAAAGGAAAATTATTGCTGATTTCCCATACAAATGCAATGATCTTTATGGTTAATTATGTTTAGTTTTTTTGCAATTCCATTATGCCCCACTAAAATACCCAGTTTTGCAATACACTTTACTGTTTGAAATGTGAAATAGTATATTACGTACCTAGGGCCGAAAATAAGGTTTTGCCAGCTAGAGATAGTGTTTACGATCGAGAGCTGCAAAATCATTTCGGTCCGTGGTATGAACGCTATTTTTAACCACACTATACCCTATTACTTACAGTATTAGTTTGCACAAGTGAACTGATTTAATATGCATTCGTGTTTTAAGAAAGTAAGCGGGCAGCTAATTTTGCGGCCCTAGGGATGTAAAAACCTGCTAGGTCCCCAAATGACGTTGACAGCTGGCATGGCTAGCAAAACGTAACTTTCAGCGACCAATTAACGTATGTAAAACAGCTAAAAACATCATAGTGTGGTGAAATAGTTATTTGTGTAACTAGTGGGGAAAGTGGCACTTTGCTGCACACGAGAGCAATGTTTACGCACGAGCCGCAGGCGAGTGTGGAATGATCTCGAGTGCAGCAAAGGCCTTTTGCCTCGTGTTACACATTATATTTTTCCTACAGTCACTATAAAGCATATAAATAATTAGTCTTTTAAACACTATACAACACGTTTTTTAGGTTCAGCTGGCAACACAAATAGGTGCCCTTGCCCTAGAGAAAGTAGTACCCGGTCCGTATCACTCCGCTATTTTTCTTCGGCAAGAAATGTGCTCCACGTTTTGAGAATATAGTTCCGTATGTTTTTGTAATTTGAAGTGGTTTCCGCGCCTAAAAAAATGCTTTAAAGGTATTTTTTTGTTTATTAAGATGGTAGGAATGTTTTAAAAACGTTTAAAAGAAAAGTCCAGAAAGTTCAGAAATACCGAAATAACACGAAATGACAGGTTAAATCGTAGTTATAATAGTCAATCAGCTGTTCATAGTATTATTATCTTTAAGTGTTGCCAACCTATTTCCAAGCGTACACGGATTACGTGCATAATAGAACCACGCTGTTTTGTGTTGTTTCGTTGGATTCCTGATGTGCGGCAAAGTATAAACCGTACGACAAAGTATAAACCGTACGGCAAAGTATAAATATGCAGCAATTAGCAGCTTTCTGTACTATAAACAGTACAAGGAAGCCAACTTTGCCGGGTGACTGTAGGAAAAAGGTTTTTTGGGGGTCTTGGTTCTTAAACACTAAACTACTCAATGTGTTTCATCCTCGTTTGAGAGCGGTAATTCGTTTTTACTAGGGACAAATTGATGGATATTCAATAAACCAAAGTGGTTATACTTTTTCCACGAATGAATTAAAGTATGGTATGTCACAATACCCAATATAAAACCTTCCCTAAAAATGAATATCTCTTGGGGTAGGCTTACAGTTTTCATACGTTTTCAATCACTACTGAAACCTGAATATTCTTAAGTTTCCTATAAAAAGTACAAATTACGCGAGAGAAAACCCGTCATAACCATATTATGATAATCTTATAGAACTCGTTAAATTAGGTCCAATCATGTTTATTTCACTCTTCATAGAAAACATCCGTATTTCACTTGATTTCTATCAATTAGCTGAATGTGACGTTTAGGTTTACTATCATCAAAATAAATTGTGTAGCATCATAAATGCATTTTGTATATTTTATTAAATTCATTCATATGATCTCAATAAAATAGGTGGTCGACGTTTGGTTTTAGCGAATTTCCCATATAAGGAATAAGCTATTACCGTAGGTCTCATGGTAAGACCTGGACCCGGGTCCGATTTACATTTTCGTTTTGAGGTCCCCAGAGGCCAAAAACACCATCCGTTCAAATTCATATATATATTTATATATGTGTCCATTAGAACGATAACTCGAGCAAAACTTATCCGATTTTGATTACATTTGGTATAAACGTGTAAACTTACATTTATTTGAACAAGTTCACTAACTAGCATGATCGGACTATGGGAACCGGGGTTAATTGAAAACTCATAACCGGGGTTTTATGGGGCAAAAATGGGGGTTTCAAATTTTTCACCCTGAAAACATAAAATTTTGCAATTTATTTCAAGACCATTTTGTAGAGCTCAAAAACAAACAATTTAGTATATTAAAGCGTTGTTGTATGCCTAACGGTTACGGAAAAAATCCAAAAAAGTCTAAATTTAAAATTACCAGGTTATTCTCATGGAGAATAAATAAACTGTTGTAGATTGCTTGTCTATAAAAATATTAAAAAAAATTACTTAACACTAAGCAATCAATATTTCAATAAAAACACACCTTATTGTCTCCCTGTTGCATCAAACTTACGTACTCGTTAAAATTAATGATATTTGAATAGGAAATAAATCTGACAATTCTTAGGGAATATTTTAGTGGAAATCTGCTTAGTCTGCAGGTTTGCTACGGCGGGGGCATGTAGCTTTGTAGTTATTTGGAAAGTCGTTCTGGAAATTTTACGTAAACCCAGTTTAAACAACGGTTCTCGTTAACGTCCACTATTCATAGACGTGTTAATTGACACGTTGGTCCACTGTTTGCGTTGCCTGTTTAATAATTGTGCACATTCCAAGTATAGTCTCCATTGAAGTTTATGAATTTAGCTACTGAATCTACTGTTGACTTTAAATATATTTTTAAATTTTTCGTTTACAGTACAGTAGTTAAAAGGAAATTAAATGATCAGTGGTTAATAATATACAATTTAAGTTTTGCTTGACTAAAACACCAAAAGGTTCGAAAGAAAGAAGGTGGCATATTATAGCAGTATACGTTAATGGTGGCTTCATCATATTATTATTTCTTTACTATAGATCAATTATTGTTATGTTACAAATTTTCGAGCAAGAGTTTTGGGTGGAAATATCCGTTTTTTCCCTCCCCCCAAACCCAAAAAAGCTGTTTCCGAACTTAATAATATGTCTGTGTATGGATGTGTACAGAGCTGCGGGCTACGCCTATGGTCTGATTTTGACGTAATTTAAAAGTACGGTTCAAAATTTATAGTTACTCCATCCGCATGCCCATAACAAAGGGATTGCTGATACGTTTGTATTTTTGTCATGTGATCAGAATAAGATAAATGCGTACCCTCATCTTGGAAATCACTTAATCCTAGATTATTAAATATTTTATTTTGTTATATTTAATATTATTATATATTTATATATCTATACAGGGTGTTCCGGAACTCTCTACCAATATTTTAGGGCATTGCTCCTGGGTAAGAAATATACCTAAATATCATATTTAAATTGTCCAGAGGTCCTTACTCACACAGCCGCCATTTTGTTTTTTTTAGTTATTAACTTTTTTTTAGAATGGTTAAACATACGAAATGGAAGCTTTGCACAAACATTTATGACAACTAGAAAAAGCTCCAAAAAAATTCTGAAGATTTTTCAAATCCATAAAACAAAATGACGGCCTTTTAAAACCTTGTTTCTTCAATAACTGGAAACCCGTTGATTTTACAAAAGATTTACATGAATAACTTTTTTTTAGGTAATTCCACTACAAATTGATTGACACCTTATTTTTTAAGTTCAAACAAGTACTAACTGAGATATGGCAGTTTTAGTGATACGTGACCAATCTCAGCATGCAATGCAACTAACCTCTAGCGGTATGAGTAACTAAGGACTTCCGGACAATTTAAATATGATATTTAGGTATTTTTCTTACCCAGGAGCAATGCCCTAAAATATTGGTAGAGAGTTCCGGGACACCCTGTGTATATATCAATTATTGGTTATTGTGTTTTAGTATCATCAAATAACCTAATTAATTATTTCAGGTGTTAGCGTAGGAGCTAGTGTCTTCACCATCACCGCTATGAGCATAGATAGATACTTGGCTATCCGACATTCTATGGCATTCAGAAAAGTGTTTAACCGCAAGTCTACAATATATGTGAGTGAAGCCCAATCGTTACATTGAATGTTTTTATCTGTGATGTTTTATAGTCTGCCTTAGTGTACTAATTCAGTAAAATGTGTTATGCATGTATGTAAAGATGGAATAAAAGCCCTTAGTTTTAGCTTCATAGATGTTCTTTTTTTACCATAGCCTCCTTTATTATGATTCCCCAGCGTGTTAAAGTGGCAACGCCGCAGCTCCGGCCTACTAAAACAGCTGTTTATAATGGAGCGTCTGTGCGATGTCGGCCGGTGCGACGTTGCCAAACGCCACGACCTTCCGATGTATCAGTCAGAGGTCAAAGTTAGATCATAAATATTTCAAAATGAAATTAAATCTAGAAACTTGAAACATTTTGAAGAAAATTAAATGTAACAGGTATCGTTATTTTTTTCTCAACTCCTAGTGCCCAGCTCTGGTTTTTTTCCACCGCGGTTTAAGTTCAGAGTAAATTTCTGTTGACGTTGAAAATAATGTTTTTCTGTGTACACGTAACTTAGATGTACAAAACGAATTGTAAAAAAACTTACATTCTTTTTATGCAAAAGAAAATTTACGCTTAGCATTCCTCCAGCGTTTAAATATACAAAATTATAACTCTGGAAGTTGAAATTTAGTCATCACTTTCACGTAACAGCCTTTATCTATGCAAACTTAACCGATGATGAACTAATGAAAAGGGCTTTAATATCTAACAAGCCAAATTGGTACTACATGACTCTTTGTGTTAAGTCTGTTTGATTGGCATAGAAATATTACACAAGTTTTACTAACGTCGCATTTTATAATTTTCTTTTTACTGACGTATATGTTGTCAAAATTGAGTAAAACATTTACTAAAGCTGGTCAATATACAGAGTGTAAGGGAAAGATTACAGTTCCATACTTAAGTCATACCGTTAGCCTACTTTTTATGATACGTTGTTCGTTGGTGGCTACAACCATAGACAAAAAGAATATAGACGGTCAGCCTTGCTGCGGTTAGTATAGGTTCTGGCGCACACCGCTGGGAGTGCCATGTAGTTACGGCTTACGCGCTACGTAGATACACGGCGCTCCCAGTGTATATCTGTAGCCCTGGCTCCCAGTGGTGTGCTCCAAAACCTATGGTAACCATGTTAACCTCGGCACGGCTGACAGTCTATATTTAATTCTTGTTGTATATGCTACAACCAACACCAAGTTTACTTATATGAATATAGATTAATCAAAATGATTGCCAAGGATTGATCCAAGGAATCAGTGGAAACCCATTTTGTTTCACGTAACGCAGTATATAGGACAAGGTGCTAAAATACTTACAATTTGTTGTGCATACATTTTAAGAACATTGGTTTTTATTTTAAGTATGACACTTATGAAAAGACATTTTGTGCAGTCAAACTTTTAATTTTACTAGTTTACTAGTTATAGGAGATCTAAAAAGTTATATTACAATATTTTAACTTTCCTAACCGACCGTTTTCAAAAGTAAATTTCATTTATGGTCAGACATCACGTTTTTCGTCGGCTACACCACGCGTCCGCTTCAGTTTCTAACTAGGCCAAACATTAATTAATAATTTCGTGTTCGTATATGATTTGTGGCGACTCTTCACAACCACATATTAAGAGGATATTTTTAACAATTTAATATTATTCACGGATATTAGAACAGAAACAATGGAAATAAGTGACGTCACTTGCCCGAAAGTAAACATGATTGTGTTAACTCATTGTTCTTAAATTATTGTGGACGGAGTCATCAGTTTTGACGTTTGTTTGTTTTCACGTCCAAGTCTGAAATCTGTCATCCAAAGGCACTGGACGTGAAAACAAACAAACATAAAAAATGATTGTTTTATTAATTAAATGGAAGTGTCAGAAAACTTCCAAACCAGCTGTTACAGTTGTGTAAGACTCGGGCCATTGACGTAATTCGTTTATGTTACCTACCTATAGAGTTTCTTCCTATCCAAGGAATCAAGATTGAACCTTGATTAATTTACCGAAAAGATCACGCGGTACAACATACATTTTACCTAAATCACTACAAAATATATTAAAAAGGTAAATGTTGCACCAGATGATACTGTTGCTATGGGCGGTGTCCCTGGCCATATTCCTCCCCGTGTTGTGGGTGCGACAGACAGAGCTGGTGGACCTGGGGGATGATCCTCGGCTGTCAGCAGCCGTCAGGAAGTACAGTCTCACCTGGTGTATAGAGGACTGGCCACATCACTCCAGACACTTCTATGGTGAGGTTATTCAAAACTTACATTCTATAATCAGACCTATTGTGGTTGGAAATGGCTTTTTCACCCATAGCAGGGAGTAGACTTCCGTATCTGTTGGCATAAACAACCGAATGCAAATATCGATCGATTTATCTAATGAAACAATCGAATAATCGATATTTTCATTCAGTTGTTTGTGCCAACAGATACGGAAGTCTACCCATAACAGGGATGATTGTTGACATTTTCCTTTACAATTTTCAACATTCTGGATCTGGAATATAATCTAGTCCTTATGTGAAGAAGTTGCTAAACCATAACATAACTAATCTAGTTCACAAACCCAACAAAAGGCGGGAAAACACAACACTCATTTTAGTTATAGTGTAGTTTGTTATAACAAGGAACAAAAAACCTGAAATGAAACAACAATTAGCACAAACAGAGGACGAGTGATCACAATGGACGCTTCTGCACAAGATGGGAGCTCAAAGGAGACCCGGAGACGCCAAGAAAGGTTTTTATGTTCGTGATGTAAAATGCATGAAATAATGCCTTTAACAACTTAATGTCCAAAGATGAGTTTTCTTAATGATTTTTTTGTTCAAGCGTAAGAACTAAAACTGAAATGAAGGGTGTAAAGTATTTTTCTTGTCGACAGTTTAGATTTTCATTACAAATATTATAATTCACGATTCTAAAATGAATATTACACGATTAATAAATACTGACTTTCCAGCAGTTATATAGGGAAGAATAATCACAGGTTTGTTAAAGGCTACCGGTTCTTACTAAGTTAGATGTTAGGTTGTTTCTAGTTGGCAGCTACTCAATTGCATGCATATCCCTCTTTGGCAAGAAACGCCCATAAAACGTATACAAACATAATAAAACAGATTTTCTGTTTTCAGATTCCCATATGCCGGTTTCCCTAAAAACTTTAAATTTTAGAGCTTGTATAATTGATCAAAACTATTTGTAATATTCAAAAGTACATACAATTTTACACTCAAAATAACTTGTCTACTTTGACAACCCCTAACTATTCCTTTGCTTGTAAAATGTAAACTATACTGATACGTAAATCAGAAGAGACAACTGGTATCCATCCAAGGATGAATCATTCAGAAAATAAACGTTGAGAAATGTTCCTTTGCTGCCTGCAGGGGTGTTCTGCTTCGTGCTGGTGTACCTGACCCCAGGATGTGTGGTGATCCTGGCCTACACGCTGATGGGTCGCAGACTCTGGGTGGTGCGGCCGCCGTTTGACAAGGACGAAGGAAGCGTCAGCAACCAACAGGTAAATTTAAAGAGGAAAACATAACCAAAGAAGCCTTAAAGAAGTGTATTCCGCTGAACGAAACAGAAACATGTTTTACCCTACTTCTGGGCCTTGTCCTCTTGGCTGCATTTATTGTGTCAAGTGATCATGTAATTTCAAAGGGTGGAAAGACCAACGATGCTGTTCTTGGGCATGCATCTGCAGCTTCAAATTAGGTCATAGCTTTAACAAAAGCGTAGTATAGTTCAGGATACTTCATTACCTTAAATCCCAAAGGTAATGTAAAAATTCATGATCTTCGCACTCTTGTCAGAATTTCCACCACTAAGAAATTGTTTTACATAGACTGTTATTGGGCTTGCCTCTTCAGCTTCGGGTTAGGTTAAAGCTTTGACAGGTTTAATATGATTCAGGATGGTTAACTACATTGAATACCAAAGGTAATGTAGAAACTCAAGAATTGTGCCCTTGCAATACCGTTGCTACCCGTTGATATCATGTTGTACTGATACTGGTGTCTCAACGACGTAATCTTCATCTTATGTCTCCAGGTGCGGTTAGTAAAGGAAAGAAGAAGGGTGGCACGTATTCTGCTGCTGCTCGCAATTCTGTTCGCACTCTGTTGGCTTCCTTATAACGTCCTGTCCCTTCTGCTAGACCTGGACCTGATAATACCTACTGTAGGACTGCATCAGGTAAGACTAGTTTTTTACTCTCAAAATGTATGTAGCTTTCTTGCAGCAGTTATATCATTTAAGTTTCAAGTTCAAAGTATGATAACGCAGATGTCTTTTGATTGTCCCAATTATTTTATTCATTCCTTGTATGGATTTGGTACTGAAATGTCTTAAACGGAGTGTTATGGTGTTTTAGCATTGTCGTCTATTTTTTACTATTTTGAATTCGGACATAAGACCACGACATAAGACCATCTTCAGCAATTAAAGCTCTCTTGGTTCTTATGCTTACGATTAGCCTCCTTTAAAACAAGGCCGCAGCGTTGGTGTGTGGCAACGTCGCACCGGCCGGTCTGTTGCGATTGTAATAACTATAACGTGCAAACATAAACAATGCGTAGACGCTCCATTGTGAATTAGTGCAACAGCTGTTTCGGTAGGCCGGCAATGCGGCGTTGCCACTTTTGTCCTACCTTATACTAGAGGAGGACAAGGCCTAGGTCGCTGTCTTCAGTCTGTCAGCTACATATTGTTTTCTTTCCTAGGAAGAAGTGTATAATGATGTAAATATTCAATTCCCTGAAAGATACGAACTTGGTCACGCATTTTATAGTAAACATGATAATTTCTTTTGACAGGAGACGCTTATGAAGTGGTTCCCCTTCACACTGCTGCTGGGACACGCTAACTCTGCCATTAACCCTCTCCTGTATTGCTTCATGACTCGCAACTTCCGTCGCACAGTCCGCAGTCTCTTCTGCCAGACAGGCATCTCTAGACCTCGTCCACGACAAAGGATGAAAGTAAGTTGCATTATTGGATAGAAAAAATATTGACCTACTATTTTGTAAAACAAAGTTTTCTTTAGTCATTTCATACTTACTTGCTAATCGATGAAAGCCTAACATATTTATATATGTATACGTTTTGAGGACCGTTACTGGCTATCACAGCCGCCTTTAATTCCAGGCCGCAAGCCGCGGCCTTCGAAGTGGCAACGTCGCAAGTAGGGTTGTAACAGCTCTTTTGTTTGGAAGCAGCTAAAGGCATTTGTGTATTTACGAAAGCTTGGTTACTTGACTATGAAAATATTAATGTACAGATATAGACTTTCAATTCATAATGTTTTGGTTTTTAATTATGTATGTTTTATTTTTAATCCTACTAATATTATAAATGAGAAAGTTTAAATGTATGGATGTATGGATGTATGTTTGTGACAAGTGAACGCGAAAAATACTGGTCGGATTGGGCTGAAATTTGGCATGATGATAGCTCACATTCCCGATTAACATATAGGCATATTCTTATTTCAAAAATCCTTTCGGGCTCCGCCCCAGTGGCTCTGGAGTTTCCCATGTTAACCTTATGAGAAATGGAATTATTGAATCTTAACAGCTGTTTCAATTAAACAAGTTGGTTCTGTTCTGTGATGTTCAATAGCATTAAAGTTACAAGGATTACCAACAGGGCGCAGCACTATTATTTCTTTTACATTTATGACAACAGCTAATTTGCAAAAAAAAGGTGAGTGAGCGTAGCGAACGAACTTCAACCTGGAGGCGAGTTAGCGTAGCGAACGAGCTAACCTGAAGGCAAGTGAGCGTAGCGAACGAGCTCCAACCTAACGGTGAGTGAGCGTAGCGAACGAGCTCCAACCCAAAGGTGAGTGAGCGTAGCGAACAAACTTCAACCCAAAGGTGAGTGAGCGTAGCGAACAAACTTCAACCAGGACGTGATTGAGCCATGCGAACAAGATAATCTTGAAAATTAAGAAGTTAAACGGGGCAAAGCCCGCGGGTTACAGCTAGTATTTTAATAAATTTATGTCCATAAATTTAAATTTAAATCAATAAAGTGCGAATTATTGAGCTGATGTCACCTGTCTGCCATGTTATCTTGTCTGAAACTAAACAACCCTACTTGCGACGTTGCCAATTCTACCAGGCCACGGCCTGTAGTTAAAGGTGGCCGTGCTGGCTATACATCTAGTTGTATAATTGATGGTACTATTCATGTAAAACTAAATAACTAACTAACTATGGTAATCGTTAACTATGGCTCTTTAAGTTACCTCGTCATCTATTGTAATTTCCTTAAACTTCTACATGGAAATGTTGAGTTGCAAATAGCAATACAGAATTGACATTGAATGTAATAAATAAAAATCTCGAGTTTTAGTACACCCCAAAGTGTAACAGTCAAAAGTGTTGTAAACACCAATAGTTTTCTAGATAAACTCGAACTAATTCATTAAGTGGTGTGAGATGGGCAAGATGTTACGGGTTGGGAGTTATCGCCGGGACGCAAACAATGTTTATAGCTGTTGTTGTGCGTTTGACGAGTGGTCGGTCTGTTATAGCCTCCATACCTGGCAGATGTATCTCTCTCATGTTGTCCACCTTCCACTCAACATTTCTTAGAAGCGTCTTTGTTGATAGTTTGATCAAATGATGTCCAAACAATTTAGGTAGGGCTTGTACAATTTATAATAGTTACAAGTTTGCTATCTAAAACGTATTCTTCATTTAATAAATACAGTGGGTCGGAAATTATTTTTTCATCGTACATAAAGTAGCTATTTTCATTAACAGATGATAACAAAGAAAGTAATTAATTATTGTTTGTCAAGCCCCAATACGCACGCTAGTGTTAAGTTTTATTTCTATTGTTTGAAATCAGCTGTTTTTAACAATACAAATGTGAAAATAAATATGTATACGTTAGTTTTGCTGTGTTTTAGACTAGTGCGTGATTATTGCACAATAAACATAAACCTGAGCTTGAATTTTTAAGTTGTCGCGTAGGTTTGCAGCTTTTAGCTTTTGTTTGACATTAAAATGTTCATTATGCGGATAAACAACAATTCTGTGGCTGATTCAAAATCACATTGCAAGAACTATGCAGTGTAAAAATAACTATCGTGAATCCCCTCTTGTGCTTACCATTTTCTAAATGTTGCCTTGATATCACAATCTTTTTTTTAACTATTTTTCTTACAAAGTATTTGTAGTTAAATGACACTTTTAAAATACAATACATAACTTGTAACCGATTAAAAATACGTTTATTAACGTTTATTATTATTATTCGGTCGCATTGGGGAATAAAGTAAGTTAAATAAATTACGACTACAGCTCAATACATAGAAGGTCCATTAACACAGTTCAAATCCTCGCATAAACAAACAAACATTTATCTGATTTAAAAGCCAGTTTTTTTTTCAGTTTATTCGTACTGTACCCTTTCTAGGCATTTGGGTAGGCCATTTTCAATCACAATTGCTAACAATAAAGTTTCTAACAATTTTCGTGATTTAGAATTTAAAAATAAGCCATCAAACGATTGCGCTGATATGATTGCATGTTGATTAATTCTCACTTACCTTGAACTCAAACCACCAAAGTTTACCTGAAAGTCTTATGTCTTTTTGTTCCTCTTTTTGCTTTTTCGGTTTCAGAATCGCAGCGCCACGTCGTCCAGTGGATACGCTTCGCACCACAGCCCTCATCGGCGCTGCTACGTGCTCAGCCAGCCTCAGCGAACAACAGGCACCCAGCTGCGAACCCTCCACCCGCTGTGACAGGACCTGCCACCGTCTGAGACTTACCTGTGAGTGGTACGCTTCCCACCACAGCCCTCATCGGCGCTGCTACGTGATCAGCCAGCCTCAGCGAACAACAGGCACCCAGCTGCGAACCCTACACCCGCTGTGACAGGACCTGCCACCGTCTGAGACCTACCTGTGAGTGGTACGCTTCCTACCACAGCCCTCATCGGCGCTGCTACGTGCTCAGCCAGCCTCAGCGAACAACAGGCACCCAGCTGCGAACCCTACACCCGCTGTGACAGGACCTGCCACCGTCTGAGACTTACCTGTGAGTGGTACGCTTCCTACCACAGCCCTCATCGGCGCTGCTACGTGCTCAGCCAGCCTCAGCGAACAACAGGCACCCAGCTGCGAACCCTCCACCCGCTGTGACAGGACCTGCCACCGTCTGAGACTTACCTGTGAGTGATACGCTTCCTACCACAGCCCTCATCGGCGCTGCTACGTGCTCAGCCAGCCTCAGCGAACAACAGGCTCCCAGCTGCGAACCCTACACCCGCTGTGACAGGACCTGCCACCGTCTGAGACTTACCTGTGAGTGGTACGCTTCCTACCACAGCCCTCATCGGCGCTGCTACGTGCTCAGCCAGCCTCAGCGAACAACAGGCACCCAGCTGCGAACGCTGCACCCGCTGTGACAGGACCTGCCACCGTCTGAGACTTACCTGTGAGCGATACTCTTCCCTACCACAGTCCTCATCGGCGCTGCTACGTGCTCAGCCAGCCTCAGCGAACAACAGGCACCCAGCTGCGAACCCTCCACCCGCTGTGACAGGACCTGCCACCGTCTGAGACTTACCTGTGAGTGATACGCTTCCCACCACAGCCCTCATCGGCGCTGCTACGTGCTCAGCCAGCCTCAGCGAACAACAGGCACCCAGCTGCGAACCCTACACCCGCTGTGACAGGACCTGCCACCGTCTGAGACTTACCTGTGAGTGATAGACACCGGTACTACCATCTGAGTCACTCTTGTGGATTGGAACGATGTATGAACTCCGTTAGAGTATTGACATCTTTTGAGGCTTATCCGTGAGGTTGATTTTGCTGAATAATTCTCAGGACAAAAGATCGTGAGATTAATGATCTGAATGATGCAATTTAAGATCTGTTTATGAACAGGATCTAATCCTTTACCTATGTCAGTCCTTGTACAGTAGATGAAGGATCTGATAATCGTTATGTGGGAATTGCTTATGAACTGGGCCATGTCCTCTTTGACACGTTTCGACTAGAAGATGACGTTACAAAAAATTTTTAACATGAATGGTGCTATATATATCTAGTGTCAACCACTGAAACGGATATCACGAGTTGCGATGAACGCAACCAGTGAACAGCCTGTGAAAATAATCGTACTATCAGAGTCACTTAACGATGGAAAATGTTTCGGCAAAAGCAACGTTTTGTATTTAATCATTTTTGAAATGTAATTCACTCTGTTTAATCAATATGCATAAATAAGAAACCAGCAAAAATACAGGGACAAGGCCCTATTTTAATCTGTATTCATGTGTATTCCAGTAATATCACAGAAAACATACTACTATAACCGTATGTTTTCTGTGGTAATACAAACGTTTTATGTACTCTAATGTATTAACTTTTTATGGATATTGCTTACTTTGTAATAAAGAGCTGAACGTGTATCTCATTTCTCTCTGTTCAGTCAACTACCTGTGTTATCATACTACCTACCACTTTTATATTTTAAATAGTACGATAGTATTTAAATGTAGTTGGGACTGTAGTTAATAGCTGGTCAAGTGATTAGAACGCGAAAATTGGAGGCTCTCTAATGGCAAAAGCCAAATAGTAAATTGGTTCAAATGGCAAGTGGGGATGCCGTAACCGTCGTTTCGGAGCCCATTTCAATTTTAATATGTGGGTCTACTTATTTAGAAAACAAAAGCATTTGGATTTCCATTTGCCTAGCTGGATTTCCACTAAAATATTCAACTAAAATTGTCAGATAGATTTACAACAATAAGTGATTTAATACAGTAAATGATTTTTATGAGCACTTAGGTTCGCTGCTATAGAATGTACTGAATACATTTTCCAATTTTTGTGAATACATATCGGAAATATATGAAAATTTTAAATGTAAGCCAACAGTTTAATTTTTTTTTTCTCCGTAACTTTTAGTTGTACAACAATGAGAAAGTTCGCAAAAACAGAATATGGAAGAATATGGAATATGGCTGTTTTTAAGTTAAAATACCTACAATGTCGATAGATTATAGATCAGGAAAATAAACCTAATCAAATCGCGAAAATGACTTATCATCTAACAAATTAAGTAAACACAACAATTAATTTGTAGTTTGGAATCGTCTGCTTAGGCTACTAGTCAATCTCTAGGACCCTTGGTCTTCAAAGGTTACGTTTAAATATGAAGGTCTGAAAGTGAATTCTGCCCCAGACTAAGTGTTTAGATTGATTTCAACGCTTAATAGCACTGTATGTTTATCAACCTTTGAACAGCCCAGGAGGTGTATCGTTACAAAAATAAATTATTACAAACTATTCATAAATTACACATATAATAAATTATATGAAATTATTACTACCTTGATATGAAAAATATGTAGTTTGAGAATACAATAGTAAAATTTGCAAAAGTATATTATTTATATAATAATTAAGAGAGTATGTATCATTAACAATATACAGTAGTAACGTTATTTGCTCCCAGAGCGGGCTGGTCTACTGGTAGAGCGCGAGGTATCGGTGCCCGAGGTCCCGGGTTCAAATCCCGCCAATCACGAATGGACTTAACCATGCGATAATGCCGCGAACCCATAGGACTAACCTGATATAATGTGTAAAACAGTTCCGGACTAGAACCTAATTGTCCTGGGATGTTGAAGGTTGGACGGTGAGTGAGAAGAAAGTAACATAATTTTCATCCGACAGTTTAAGTCTAACCAACTACGTAACAAAATCACTCTTTGGTTTAAAAGACAATTTTATGTTGCTATTAACTTTGACTATTGATAAAACTGATGTCATGTTTATTGCAAAATCCTTTAAATAATTAGACCATATACTTATATATACCTCACTCAACTACTTTCTTAGATTAGCTACGAATTCATTGTATATCTTAAACTTTACAGATCAGCGATAGAATAAGGGTACTTGAGGCTTTACAGTTTGGTGTGACATTTCAACGAGTTGTTTGACATTTGTGGTTCAACGCTCAGCGTGGAAAGGGAGGCTTAACAAAATTGAGAGCACTTTTCACGTGGAGTTGAGTGCATTAAATTAGCTCTTTTTAGCAAATTACTTCACTTTAAAAGGGATACGAATACCGAAAACTGTGGAAACTACAAACAATAGTGATTTAATAAAAGTGTCAATATAAATTAAACCGATTAGTTCTTCACATAGGGTTAATAGAATAAAAATGGGGTTAATGAATGGAATTGTTCTTAACATGTAACTTATTATTTAGTAGACTCAATTTGATGGTAATCACTTTTTTTAAGGAAGACAGAAAAGCCCCCATTTGATAGTTAATGCATGGTGAAGCAAACGCCAGCTTATAGACTGCGTATGTTACTCCCTAAGTGGCATCATTTACAACAACGTGTCGTAGAACACAGATTATCCTAACATGAAACTGCTACTGTATGTACCTAAACTGGGAGAGCTTTATTACTCGCCATGCAGCGTCGCTGTGCAACGATTCAACATACTGCAGTATCTAATGTAATAGTTTAGACTACACCCTGGTGACATGTAATAATTGTCAGTGAGCCGTGTGCTCATTAGAGCATTGCAGGGGTTTTGATTTAAATGTTTATCCTGATGTACAGGGTATTATGTAATGTTCATCGGATTGAGAATAAATACATGTATAATAAACGGTACCAGCAAACTGACACGTACTTTCTCCCATTTGCTTGTAAATAACCTTCACAATGGATAGATGACGGGAGTAACTATGTAACTATTGGGGGTTATGCCGCTGTGTTTAGAGTTAAAAGGACCATAATTTACTAAGTTTTAATCAAAACTGTTAGAGCCGTTTTCGTAAAAATCGGGTTTCCGTTGCTTTAGGATAAATAAACATTAAAAATCTAAATTAAAAAAAAAATATTAACTCCGGGAGATATTATGGACCTTATAAGGACCTGTATTCATTGTTATGAATTAGTTACCCATATAGTGGATATTACCCATATAACGAATTTTATTAAAAACCGTATCACAGGTGTAGTCTGTGGCTCTGTACACAGAAATGTGACACAGACTGTGTGCAAATTGTTACACATCAACACAAGCACACAGACATCACTGCAAAACCTTCTTGTTAAAGTCCAGGGAAACTTGGAAAATTTTACAAAAAACAATACTTCATTTATTTATTTATATCAACGGATATGCCATTTACAAAATAATATATGGTTTACTTGTATAGGGGGAGAAAGTAAACTTGTGATTATGGCAGTCAGGAGTTTAATGTATGGGAGAGTTATCATTTGCTTATTCTTCCTAAAAACTTAATATAAAAACCTTAAGGTTACACTTGCATAAATAACTTGGAAACATAACATTTCCAGATAAATAATCCAACATTTACATTTTTATGAAAATTTAGGTCGAGCTTTGTTTTAAATTCTCCTTACGTACTACCACAGAAAACATACAACTGTAGTATGTTTTCTGTGGTACTACATAACATGGATACAACATGTTTGCTTGAGTATTTTTTAACCGATCATCCTTTGCAAAACATCCTTCTAATAAAAAGTGTTTATGCTTGGTAAATAGTGTTTAAATATTTCCAAGAGTGCTATATCACCACCACAATAGCTGTCACCATACCACAATATCAAGACAGCAGGACAAAAGCTAGGGAGTGACGTCAGTTTTCATCAACATAATCATCTGTCTATCAATAATAATCCAAGTTTGGCTCTATCAGTACAGTAACAAAATGTTTGGTATGGTTTTTGTAAAAAGATACAAAGTTTATGTTATGTTATACTAGCTGTAACCCGCGGGCTTTGCCCCGTTTAACTTCTTAATTTTCAAGATTATCTCGTTCGCATGGCTCAATCACGTCCTGGATGAAGTTTGTTCGTTACGCTCACTCACCTTTAGGTTGGAGCTCGTTCGCTGCGCTCACTTGCCTTCAGGTTAGCTCGTTCGCTACGCTAACTCGCCTCCAGGTTGAAGTTCGTTCGCTACGCTCACTCACCTTTTGGTTGCAAATTAGCTGTTGTCATAAATGTAAAAGAAATAATAGTGCTGCACCCTGTTGGTAATCCTTGTAACTTTAATGCTATTGAACATCATAGAACAAAACCAACTTGTTTAATTGAAACAGCTGTTAAGATTCAATAATTCCATTTCTCATGAGGTTAACATGGGAAACTCTAGAGCCACTGGGGCGGAGCCCGAAAGGATTTTTGAAATAAGAATATGCCTATATGTTAATCGGGAATGTGAGCTATCATCATGTCAAATTTCAGCCCAATCCGACCAGTATTTTTCGCGTTCACTTGTCACAAACATACATCCATACATACATACATCCAAACTTTGACATTTATAATATTAGTAGGATTACGTTTAATGTTGATGTTTAACTTGTTCCATCATTGTTTATGTTCACTTTCATTAAATGTTAAAACTTTTCTGACTGTTATAGACAGCATTATAATCTTGCTAGTATACAATAACAAAAATTTTTATTGCTAACGGATACGACCTAGTCAAGGAATTCGATAGTCAATCAACTGTAGGGAAGTTAAATATTTTTCCCACTGGTATTTTTT